ATGCAGGGCAGCCTGGACACTGAGGTCTACTTGCCAATAGCTAGGACCATGTGCAGTGTTTTGGCCCAAGGTGGAGGCAGCTGGCTCTCTGCACCATGATCCTGGCCAGGTATCTCGCAGAGTTGGCTGGGAGTGAAGGCTAGGCTGTGTGATCTATCTAAGTCTTGGAAGTAGGAAGAAATCACAGGCAATGATCTCTTGAATCAGCCAGGTCCTATTGTAGGTGTGTTTACATCCATTAACTCACTTAATTCTCACATCAGCTCAGTGAGGTGGGAATAATCACCCCAGTTTCACAGATGGGGAAACAGATTTGGAAAGGCAGAGTGACTAGTATTTGGTCATGTGGGCGGTGAGCTGAGGAATGGCCAGGTGCTAAGCCTTCCTGGAAGAAGGGTATCCCAGAAATGGAGCAGGCAGAGAAGAGGAAGCAGATGCTGGGGACCTGAAGACCATGTACCAGGAAGATTATAAGGAACTGAGAATGCTTGCCCGGAGCACATCCACCATCCAATGAAAGGCCACCTGGACATGTGTCCAGGCCATTTCTGCGAGTCCCCAGAGAGAACAGCTAGCTTTGAAGGGAGGAAATTACAGAGCAGCAGTGTTAGTTTGGTATAAGGAAAGATCTTTCTGACCATACGAGCCTCAAATTGAAAATGGATTTCTTTGTCAAGTCTTGCTTTTGGACAGAGCAATATTATGGGATAATGTGTGCTCTTACAGAACCAAATGGTTGGATCATGAGGTTAAACTTGAAACATACTTATGATTTCTAAGTTGCATTTGGGTTATTTATATTTGCAGGTTTTGACAGACAGCATTAGTGCATATTAATATTCCTGCCATCTAAACATTACTCAAGCCAGAGCTCCTGGCTCTGGAGGAGTGTGCGGTGTATGCCAGTGACTCTGCTAATAGAAAGGTTAACTTGTGCTTCTGAATTATTGATGGTTGCTTGTTACTAATTTTTTTCCTCAGAAAGGAGGAAATTATTAATGAAGAGATCATTGCCAATGTGTCTGACATCTATTAATGGTTTCATCTTGCAACCAGATTAAAAGAGACAGCTGGTCCATGAATTTATGCGTGGAGGCAGCTCCAAATGCGCCGACACTCTGAGGGTGGGGCCCACAGGCAGCAGGGCCTGGGCATCCACACAGCCGGCTGCTGGTGTGAGAGCCTCCCTCTTGTGGCTACCCCCTGCCCCCCCTAGGGGCCTTCAAAAGACTTTGCTGCAGAGGGACCAGGCAGCAGAAGGGCTGTCACTCTCCTGACATCTTTCCAAACTCCTCTGTTACCCACAGGAGCCCATTAGCACTCTTGCTGTGCCAGTCACTTGTTGGCACTCCTTCCGGGAGTAACTTGGAACAGAAGTTCTTAACTTAAGGGAGCATTAGAATCACCTGGCATGCTGGCTCACACACAGATTCTTGGGCCTCCTCCATCATTTCTGCATCACCAGGGCTGGAGCGGGGCCTGAGAACTGGCATTCCAACACAGTTCCAGGGATGCTGGTGCCCCTGGCCCAGGACCACACTTAATTTTAGAGCAATGATTGTCAGATTGTGAGACTTTCTCTAGACAAGGAGTCAGCACGCTTTTTCTATAAAGGACAACACACTAAATTTTTGTTTTGTTTCGTAGGTCTGTAGTTCAGAGAGCAGCCATAGGCAATAATTAAATTAATTTTTGTTCCAATAAAACTTTATCAAAACAGGCAGTGGGCCAGATTTGGTTCATGGGCTTAGTTTGCTGACCCCTGCTCTTGAGCAGTCCTTGCAGAACTTTCTAAAAAAGAAAAAAAGTCATAGGTCAGATTTTGCAGAAGTTTCCTGACTTCTGCTCCAGAGAAGTGTTACAATTTTCTATGATGATGGAAATGTTTTAGAGCTGTGCTGTCTGATATAACAGCTACTAACCATATGTGGCTACTGAGCCCTTGAAATGTGGTCCATGTGACTAAGGACTAAAATTTGAACTTCCTGGGCTACAGCAAAAAGACAGAAAGCTTCAGTGGAGCAGCCCTCTGTGGTATGATAAGTGACCCTTCCCACCTCCCTACGCAGGGCCTTTGTCCTCCTTGGGTCTCAGTCTCTCTGTGTGTAAGAGGGAGACAAAACACCAGCTACATCACCAGCCTTTCCCTATGGATGAGTGAGGCACCCCAGCCCAGTGGGTCCTCCATGGTGCTCTGCTCCCCAATGGAGGGCTGACCAGCACTGGGCATGTGGGGCAGGGAGATGGAGGCCAGCTCCGTGTCCTTTACCCTCTTCTCTTGCCCAGTCTTCCGCATCAGACCACTGCTCCTAAAGGGAGGGCAACGCCCACTGCCCGAGCTGCAGACCCACAGCCTTTCGTTCCTGCTACATGGCAGGCATCAGAAGAGCACACTTGCTGAATGTCCCATGGTTCCAGCTTCCCTCAAAATGGGACTTGGATAGAAAGACTTGCAGCTAAAACATCTAGACCTGAAAGGGAAGTCACTGTGCATACAGGGAAAATGAGTCCCAGAGAGGTCTTCTGAAAGGTCCTACAAAGTGAAGGGCAGAGTGGCCTCAAGGACGAGGGGCCTAACGGCTGAGCAGCACTGGAAGGGGCTTTGAGGCAGAATGCCACACCACCCCTCCAGACATTCTGAAGCTCCCCGCAGGCTCCACACCTTCCTTCAGCACAGACACTGAGCTGCTGTCTTAGCCAAGGGCCAAGATGAAGTCATGGCGCAGCTCCTCAGGGGAAAGCAGAAGGGAAAGCAAGTCCACTTTTCTAATCAGCTCCTGAGCTGCAGATGCAGTTGCAAGGGAGTGGAGTTCTCAGTAGTCCCCTCTTTTAAGCAGGTGATTCCGAGGGCCTGTATTGAAGCATACCTGGCCTTGCACAGGTCCTCTTTCTCCTCCTCCAGTCCCCTGTTGTCCAGCAGCCCCCAGTCTTGAAGAACAGACTAGTGAGGAGATAGCATCCCTACAGAAGTGGTGCAGGGGCCCTTGGCAACACACTTTGGGCAGGAAGGACCCACTGGCCAAAGTTTCAAAATGGAACCTTGAGGACTTATGTGCATTTACCAAGGAAATGATTCTGGTAGAGCAAAAGGCAGGTGCAAAAGCATGTGGATGAGACTGAATGCCACAGCCCTGCTGGGTAGCAGGTGGAAGCACATACTCCCGAGAAATAAAGGGGACAGGGTGTCTTAGAAAGCATGAAGTCATGGTTCACGCCCAAGCCCCTAGGCAGGTAAGACCTGGTTCTGGGATCAAGTCTTCTGCTGCCAGCTCAGTCACCACTGAAATGGGACCTTTTCTTGAGACTGCCTGAACCTCATTCAGACCTAGGAACTTTGCCTGCACCCGTATAGCACTCCTGGATTGTGGGTGCATGAAGGTGCAGGAGAGCTAGTTTCAGAAGATGCTGTGAGAACTGCTATTTTATACTTTTCCAGAAGGGGAGAAAGAGAATGCATTGGCAGGAGCCCAAGGGAGCTGGGACAAGTTACAAGTGTGACACCAAGCTCCTTAGTGGCTTAGATCCTCCTCCCATCCAACCTGGCTCAGCTCCTGGGCTCAGCCACGACCAGGGTTACAGGGAAAGGGCCAGGGTCAGGCCTTTTCTCCAAGGTTCCCTAGCAACTCATCTGCCCAAGGATCGAGTAGAGGTTTGATGGAGCAGACAGCTGGCAGCTTAGTTCTGAGCAGAAGGGATCTTCCTATTCCAACTGTCCCCAAGGGCCAACTATCCTTGTATCCCCAGAGAAGAACACAGAATAGGGCAACATTAGTATTTGCAGAATTATAAAGAACCATTGGGGAAGGTTATTAAAGGCCCAACTCCTAGGCTCTGCGACCTGTGGACTTCCATTCTCCCTGTGCAAGGCTGGGAAGGAAGACTTTGGGCGAACCCTTTCATTTGGTTCTTTGACCAGGCAAGTGTGGGAGGCATTGGTTAGTCCAACGGCCTAGTCCAAGCACGTTCCCTTCGAAGTGGTGGCTTTGGTGGCAGGGAGTCCATACAGGGCTGGTAAAACTTGCCAGACATTACAAGTGTAGGGCGAGCAAGCAACTTCCACTCCACCTAGTGGGGACTGGGATATGAGTTAGGGGCTCTGTGTCCTTTGCTATAGCAACTCCATTGCGGAGCTGGGGCTCCCCACTTTTGGAAACCCTGGCCATGCCTGACTTTGACATGAGTCCCCTAAGTCTTTCCAGTCCAATCCTTGGGATCCCAATAAGGATGTGAGGAGGTGATGTGTTGACAGAGATGAAGGAGGGAGGGCTTTGGGCAGGTAGAAGTGTTCACAAGTGGGAACCCCATGATCGTTTCTGGGTTTCCCCCGTCTTTTGCATCTCAGAACTCCATGTATGACCCAGACTTCCCCTCTCCCGCCCCCCATGGGTTCTCTGCTCCCAGCACAGCCCAGAGCCCTGGCCTGTGGGCTCTGAGGAGCAGCTCTGATTCTGATCTGTGGTTTTAGTCTTTCAGCCCCAACCAGGTCTTTGTTCAGACAGGGAAGAAAAGGGAAAAAGCGAAAGGGAAGAAAAAGAAAAAAGAAAGGGAAGGGGGAAGGTAGCCGGGGGGAGGGGAGGGGTGCCTCATGCCTCGGTGCTCACCCACAGGGCTCTCCCACCCTAGCGTGGGGTGGGGACAAGGGAGAGTAGCGGGTGGACAAGGGGTATGGGTGCGTGCCAGGCCCTGGCTGGATGGCAGTGAAATAGCGGGGCTATTGCAGCGCGGTCAGAGATGGCCAGGAGAGACAGTGCGTGTGGGGTGAGACACTTAGAGAGAGGGAGAGACAGAGAGAACTCTTAGATGAAATTCTCTCAGTGCAGACCCTCCCTAGCAGCTACCGGCCGAGCTTTGGGGACGCCACCTCCACGCATCCCCAATTCACCAGGCCCCTATGCTGAGTTGAGACCTTTGCTCCCTCTCGCTGCCTCACCTGTTCCCCCACCCGGAGTTCAAAAGGCCTCTGCCTCTGCCTCTCCCTCCTTCCCCGGCCGCCCCCATACCTGCGCCCCCGCAGGGCAGACG